ATATGGCAGATAATATATATAAATAGCAGTGGATATCAATGACACTGATGTCAGCAAACTTACACGTTTCAATATCAGCTGATGCCAACTTCCCCTTTGTTCCAAAGTGGATGCGGATGAATTTTCCCTGTTAAAATTTTTTTAAAAAGAGTTAAATTACTATTTAAGATTCAGGTGTGTCAGGTATATTTATTTAAATAACTTTACTTTAAAATAAATAAATAAATAAAACATAAGATAAAATACAATACAACAAAATACAAAAATACAAAAATAAATAATAATAATATCAATAATAACAACTCTGAGGTTCCGTACAATCGGATCTGAACTCACAAATCGAGAGGAGTTGTCGTTCCTCACAGTCTTGGCGTTGCCGAAGGCCTCCAGCAGAGGGTTGGCCTGGATGATTTGATCCTCCAGAGTCCCCTGTGAACCCAAACCACGAGTGAAAACCGGCAGCACAATCAACAAACCTCAGAATGTGAGATAAACGCTCTGAACCTGCATCTTGCTGGGAAGTTGCTCTTTCTTGCTCGAGTCTCCGTTTGATGCAATTGTTGCAAAGTACTGGATGACTCGCTTCGTGTTCACTGTCTTCCCGGCTCCAGATTCTCCGCTGACAGAAGAACAACTCGCGATGAGCGATGGGAAAATATATTCTAGTTCTTTAAGTTCAACGGCAGATAAATTGGAACTCACGTGATCAGGATGGACTGGTTCTCTCGATCTGTTAAAGGGAAAGAAACTGGCTGGTACTGGTGCAGTTCTGCTGCATTTGGGGCGTCAATATGTGTTAGTTTGTTATTTAATTTTAGAATTTCAATCAAACTTGAATTGTTAAAGTCCAATTGAAGTTAATTAAAGTTGAATTAACTATCTATTTAGCATTTATTAACGATGGTTATGATGGAGTGTTTGATGATATTCTATCACTGTCACAACGTGCACATGAAGAACCCTGAACCAGTTATTCTGGCGCTAATGGTTGGACTGGACCTGTCAGCATGTACTGGTAGGCGCTGTCAGAGATGGCGAAGATGTGCGGGGGGGCCTCCTGGCGTTTCTTGCCGCGGTACCCGGCCACCACCTCCGGGTTGTAGACCGGGAGCCACTTATACGGGTTCACGGTGACGCAGAAGAGCCCAGAGTAGGTCTGCAAACACACCACAAGAGGACAGAAGCCACCACGGTGAAGAGAACCACGACTCAAGTCTAGTTTGGAAACGCCATGTTTGATTTGGTGCTGTAGTTACGTAGATCATCCAGGCGGCGTAGCGCTCCTTGAGGTTAAAGAGCACAGCCGGTTCGTGCAGATGTGTCAGCAGCGCCATGTCCTCCAGCTTGTCGAACTTCGGAGGGTTTATGGGGCGAATGTCGTCCAGGTGGACGGTGACCAGCTGAGGAGGGAAGTCTAGTTTTAGTTTGAGTTCATTTTGCACCATTTATAAAAATAATATCACAGTGCAGGAAGAGGCAGAAAAACCCACTGAGCTTATAGGCCTCCAACTAAATAATATTAAAATGCCACAATATTATAGAGAACAAGACACGCACAAACTCGACACAATTACATTTTCTTTTTCTTTTGTTGTTTGTAATGTATTGATATTGTTATATTTCATATCTTGTAAAAACATCTTGTCAACAGTATTTTACGGAGTCATATCTTATGCATATTGATTTTATCTTCTCTGTAATATTGTGAAATGTTAATATTATATATAAGGAGGCTTCAAATAAGCCCAGGTGGATTTTAAATGCCTCTTCCTGCACTGTGATATTATTCATCTCTGCTATGTTTGTTTATTTTATTGTTTAAATTGTGGAACATAAATAAACTGAACTAAGATATGACTTAAAAAGAAAGAAAGAGAATTCAAAGGTCTGGTGAATGAAGTGAAAGATAAGAACAGATAACATGAGATGTTAATGACGACCCACCTTCCCATTCTCAGTGTCCACGGTGACGTTGGAGCCATCTTGGTTCCTGATCTTCCCCTTCACGTACTCGTGCTTCGGGTCGGTCACAAAGATGGCCGTTTTGGCGTCAAACGGCGAGTTCTGCGCCTCGATCCTCTCCCGCTCTGACTTGCGGAGGTACGGGGCGGCCACCCCGAATATCTCCATCTCGGCATCGCTCATTCTATCTGGCTGCGTGAAAAAACAAACAATGCACTCAACAATAATTCAAACTAAACACAGATGTTTGTCAGAATTAAAGGAAACCGTGGCGTCGTACTTACCAGAGTGCTGCAGAACAAAACGAAGATTCCCCGCTCTCTCTCTCTCTCTCTCTCTCTCTCTCTCAGTGTTTCAGAAGAACAGAACAGACATCCCTCACCACAACAAGACTTTAGCAGCTTTTATAAGCGACGGTCGGGCCCGGCATCCCGGCGCCTTGTTCTCCTATATTTGGAGATCTGGCTTCTAACGCCACCCTTTGAAAAAAAGGGTCAAGTATGTCCATTTTGTATTTCGAACCAGTCTATGTTTAGCTGTATTGTGTCACTTTTTAAACGGTTTCAATTGTAACCCCTTTCACGGCGTCCATTAAAAAGCAATGAATGCTAAGGATGGCAGCTTTAGGGGGGCTTACGGTCCCGACGCGGCGGGGCTCATTTTCTGGGATCAGGGAAGATTAGATCTGTTAGGCCATCGCTGAAATTCTGGCTCTGGCTGTCTGGAGAGCCGGGCTGATCACTCGGGACTGTTTGGGTTTTGTGTCGAGGGCAGCCGGGCAACACTTATCACCTTCCAGACAGATGAACCAGTCGAAGCAACACTGTACAGATGCTATAGAATGCTTCTTTATTCGGTTTATTTGAGTTGTTTTAGTGATTTTATGTGGAGCGTTGGTGGAGTATCTTTATCACGACTGTCAACTTAAACCTGAGGCCTGTCTCTGTTAATGATGTTTCACACGGTGTTTGTCTTTAAAGGTGGTTTTGATACATATTTGTTTTATATTCAGCTTCAATGTCTGTAAAGTCTGAAACCTCTCATTTGTGACGTGTCATTATTTGCATGTTGGTGGAAGCTTTGGGACCTTTGGGAACATTCTTTTAATAAAAGTGGTGGGAAGTTTTAAAGACGAAAAAGAGTCTGAAGGCCTTAACACACCGGGGGCGTTTAATTCATTCGCACAACAAAACATGTTTCCAAACTGTTGTTTTTAACTTGAATACTTTCAAACAGAATCTGAATATTTCGCGCCGAAAAAGAAACTATTATTTGGGAACAAGGTCGTTTTTTTTGGGCATCAACCAATCACGTTGTGTCTTTATTTATGAATCAACAACACGGAGGCTTTGCAGTCCGAACCAAGATTGCAAACTGTATTACTCCTTTCAACCTTAGCATTAGCTTAGCTTTAGCATTTTTGAGTCGTTTCTGATCGAGAAAACTTCGACCCTCACAAAGGACTCCATCATGTTGCATTATGGGAACTGTAGTATTAACTGTTTTTGGAATTTATGAACTAAAAGTACGGTTGTCTTGGCCTTTTTCTAAATGTATTATGTGTGTTTTGGTCTGAACTTTAAGTTAGTAGAATTCTGAAAGAAACTATTCCATCCCAACGTAGAAATACTGGTCACATACCATAATATAAAGCCTTAATCTTCTCTTGACTAGTGCAATGCGTTACTCTCAAGCCTCAATCCAACTACTACATCTTATTTATCTTCTTTAGAAACAGTAAAACCTCCACTCTCTGAGCCAATCAAAGAGATTGTTACCGTCTTGCACTCTTCCTTTGTTAGTTATCTGATATTTTCTTATTATTTGTTATTTGACATCTTAGTTATCTGTCTTACACCATACATTGCACTGTTTGTTGATATGCACCAATCACCGATCCAAATTCCTTGTATGTGTATTGACTCGGCAATAAACCATTTTATATTCTGATATATCCATATGCACTTGTATTCACCCTTGCTTGTTATGGCATTTAAAAAGCACTTTTTCAACAGAAAATAAATCAAGAATTATTTACTTTTGCACACCAACAGCTTTTCCAGTTCCTCCTCGTAGCAGAGGAAGCGATGAGGCGTCCTAGAGGGAAAGAGCGGTACGATCTGTCTGGCAGTGCATCACAGACGGACTAATTGGTGCTGATTTAATAGCCTCTTAATGTCACTCGAAGGTCTGGCGACAGCTGCGATTATAACTGGCTGCGGGCAGACAGACTTACAGACCGCCAACTCGACACGACAACGAATGTCTGCGTGGACGTTGGACTGCGAGGAGGCCGCGGGGTGTCAAGTCAAGGGGTCAGGGGACAAGAAAGGGAAGAGGCAGGGGGAGAAAATCCCATCATGAGCTGCTGGTGTGGGAGAGAGGTCGACGCCTCACCCCAGGGGGGGAAATAGATCTGATGACGGGTGCATCTGCACCGGATTAGGGGGTCAACGGGGGAGACAAGGACCAGCCTGGAAGTGAAACTACTGCAAGAATAAACAAACATCTAATCATGTCAGTTGTCTTTGAATCACAAAACAGATGCACAGGGTTTAAATCCGGCTTCTTCATCGATCACGTGTGAATCTAAACCGCTAAAAACAGTGAAAGCGAGAAAGAGATCTGGCGTGATTGATCTCCCGAGAGGCGTCTGATTGAGATCGATCGTCCTGTCGATCTGAATGTAGTTTACTTCCTGCTGTCGCAGCTTATGTTCACTAGTAATACAATGAATAAGACAGCAGAAGCTGTGCCTGAGAGCTGGTTTATATGAGAACTCAATGTTTCTATTGACGATACAATAGAAATAGAAATAGAAACGGGAGCACTAAATTAATTTAAGGCACTAAATTAATTTCCCTGTTGATAATTAGTTGCATATGAACATAAAGGCAGCGTTTGGCATTGCGTTGTGTACTTTTGTTGCGTTTCTATTGTTTTTGTCTGCTTTCTCTCGTCTTATTCCACCACATGGTGAGCTGTGCCCCGACTCTTCAGTCTCAAACCTGTATGTATATATTTCCATTATTTTTTTGCAGCTATTGTACAATAAATGTATGTAATACATCATTTTGAACCAACAGCAAGTGCTACAAAACGTGCACCACAGTTTTTAAATCAAACTGGGGATGTGTTTCAATACCACCAGATTATGTAGCTTGTCCCAACACAGTTTGTTAAATGCAGAATGCCACAAATACCAGGATGTTCTACTGCATCCGGCTAATCTGACCCACAATCCTCTGCACAGCGGAAGAGACAAGTGTGGAGCTGCTGAGAGCTGAAGCGACGGCTATGTTTACGTTTCTAAAAGCAGTAGCGCGACAGGTGTTGTTGTGAATATTTCTATGACTATTCGGGAGAAGAGTATAAAGGTTTTTAGTCAATATCAAATGAACAGAGTCTAGATGAATGATCAAAGTGTGTAAAGTCAATTTATTGCGTTGCAAGCAAGGAGAGCAGTTTCACAGATACGTATTGCAGTAACCTGTGAGAGTGCCCCGCAGAACGGTTCTCCGTACATTCTGATTTATACCTTTACAAACAAAGGAGACAGTGAGAAGGAGGGGGGGACAAGTGGGGGACAAGTCATACGTGTGCATCAGTGTCTGGTACATGTCCTCTGCATTACAGGAAGGCGCCTCATTCTCTGCCGCTGCCCTATATGGCTTGCATGTGCCTCGTCTTATGCTATTGCCCTATATGGAATCGTTTTATGTCATAGCAGGCACTTTCCTCTTACAGAGACTATGCAGAGAACATGTTAGAACATATTTTACCGTTACAGTGTGCAGGCACAAACGATATTAATAAATCAATACTGGCTGCTGGAAAGTTCGGGTCACAATAAATCCAATGCAGCTCTGAATGCAGCTCTTATATATGAATATTAGATTTAGATTTTTTCCTCATTAAACTATAAGTGGAAGTCGTCAGCCTCCTCCAGCAAACAGTTTAATGAGATTATCAATCAGAGGTTGACCTCCGTCTGAAAGCAATTACTCTCTCTGGGTGAGCTCGGTCTTCCTCTCAACACTGATGAGCTGAAAGAGCAGCGGTTTGAATTAAACATTCAGTCCAACGGAGAGAGATTCATGTACAAATCCTCGCAGAAAGATACAACATTTCATTGAACCACAACCAGTCTGTTCCTAAATAAAGTCGTCTCTCACGCTGGGTTTTCACTCTTCATTCAAATAGTTTTGGGACGATTACGATCACAGTCATTCTGGTAAAAATAATTAAGACATCCTCTTAAAATGGCCCTAAAACACACTGGAATCACTTTACCTCACATTTAGTTAAGAAACAAATTAGTTTATTGCATCTCAGATAAACATCTTTTTTTGTGAACCAAACATAATTAAGGAAATCTTGAATAATGAGGTCACCCTTAATAAATAATTGTGTGAATCTGTTCTTTCTTAAATGACCATTTCTGTGTTTTTGAATCAGGTTGTATTTTTCACTTCTCTACATCACGGGGAGCTGGACAACTTTTCCGAAAACATCCCGATAAATATAAATTCACTACCATCAACTATTTCACCATCTATCCACCATAAAGCGCTCCATCGTCTCATCACTACGTACAAACACTTACCATCAAAATGTTTTGCGTTTTGGATATTTGATCGTTAATTGACGGAGAAACTACTGATAAACCCTTAAATACTGACACTGAAGGAAGTGTCAGTATTACATGATATATCCGTTTAAACAGACATTTCATATCATGTTCATGTCCTGTGTTTTAGGGCATCGATTGCCTTAATAAGGATTTTAATTTTCCTTATCTCCTGTGAGGTTTCTGTAAAAACAGATTCCCTTGGAAATCCAATTTCTCGTTTCCTAATTTCACTTTTTACAGCAAACAAACATCTTTAGAAATGTCTCTTCAAAGCTCTTATTCTGCTACATTTAGTCTGTCACTATTATCTCTCCAGAGATAAGATTTTAGCAGCAGTTGAATTATTTGGATGGAAAACATTTTCAGAAAAATGAAACAAGGATGAAAGCTTGTTGAGGATGCTGTTGCATTTCCTGCTTCGACCACTGGGAGTCTCCAGAGTGACACACGTTTAAACTCTACACATACTGAAGGCTTTCAGTGCATCCTGATCCATAGTTCACCACTAAAGCATTTGGAAGTAACTGTCGATCAAACACAAATAAAATATTCTACGCGTAGCTGTATTTTGTATTTTTATCACAAAATCAAATCACAGGTTATTTCCTCATTCTGTGCATCAGAAATCAGAGTTATTGATCTCATTGGAGATGATCTGTGCACATAGTTTTCAAACAGGAGGCACTTGTTGCTGCCTTTCACGCCATCAGTTTTCTGCTGCACACGACTGCTTTAAAAGGAATGTTACTGCAGACACTTTGTACCACAGCATGTCCACCATCAACACACATTAGTAGTGATTGAACCTGTCGGTCCGTAGAGGGCTTTTAATTGGCTGCCGCTCCCTTTTCCTTCTTGTACTTCCTCATGTGCGATGCTATCGAGCTGCTGATCTCCGCACTTCTTTTGTTTTGTCCGAAATACTCGGCAAACTCTCCGTCAGGTCCCACCAGGTACATGATGATGGTGTGATCCACCTGCAGGCAGCAAAGAGGCGATGATTCAAATGTTTAGTGCGTCATGTTAGCGTTGTTGTGACGTTGAGTTTGAGGAACGAGGAGCAGGTTACACTCACGATGTAGTCGTTGTCTTCGTCCTTCGGTCCCTGACTGTAGTAAACTCTGAAGGCTCTGGAGACCTGCTCGATCTGAGGCGTTGGTCCCGTCAGGCCAATCAGCTTTGGGGAAAAATCTGAAATATACACAACATGCATTATGTATTAGGGATGATAACTATTGATTGTTCCGATTGTCGATTAATCGATTAATTTTTTGGTCTTCAAAATGTCATAAAATGTTTCCTAAAGGCCAAGAGGACGTCCTCCAATGTCAAATATTCACTTTACGGTCACAAAGGAGAAGGAAACTGTTACAATTAATTGTACTGTCAAATATTAACATTTAAGAAGCTGAAGTCTCAGAAGTTTTTTCCTTAAAAATATATTATTTTTTCTCAAAATAGTTGAGGATCAATTTAATAGTTGACAACTAATCGATTAATTGTTGCAGCTCAATTATAAATCTCCTGTACCTTTCACATAAGCAGCCATGGCCTCCGTCGTGTCTCTGTCCGGATCGATGGTGATGAGGATCGGCGTCAGGTTTGGAAGAGACTTTATTTTATCTGCGGAACAAAGCAAGAAGACGACGTTTGAGGAGGAAACCCGACACTGAATCCCTCGTTTATCACGAGTCCTGATGTTTTTAATCACCTATTTCATCCACCACTTCGATCATCTTCTCTATTTCGTCCGGGCAGATGTCGGGGCAGTGAGTGAACCCAAAATAGATGAGCACCCACTGGCCGAGGAAGTCCTCGCTCCTGCTGGGTTTGTTGTTGTGATCGATGAGCGAGAACGGACCGCCCAGCGCCGGCTGGCCGATCGACTTGGTCCGCTCCTTCTCAATCTCTGCAGACGAACGATTAAAGATTCAGACCAGAGCTCGTTATTAGACAGCGTCTATTCAATTAGTTTTAATGAAAAACTATAATTTATTCTCTTGTTTTACACATTAAAGAAGTAAAATACTTACGTTCCTCCTTCTCCTTCTTTAAATATTTCATCCCTCCGAGCAGAGTGCCTCCGATAGCAAATGTTATAGCTAAAGACTTCCACGTCACCGGCTTTAAACAGAATAGAATCACAGAGCAATCGTTACAACACGATGGTTTATTCATGCTGAACTCTGGTAATGTTCAGAGATTCTCTTTTCTAAACAAACTCTCAGGAGCTTTTTATTAAAACAAAGATTACAATGAATATATTTACTGTAAATATTCTGTCTGTCCTCAGAGAGAAACCGGACTGTTTTTCATGTAATTGTCCGAAATTAATCATAATATTCATAAACACTTCCCTATATAAGTTTTTTTCCCACTGGTATACGGTCACTAATTTGTGGTAAAAATGCAAAAGAATAAATTGATTAAATCATAATAAATACATAAATTAAACTGTATTGTCCCACAAAGGCAATAAACAATAAACACAAAATGCATCAAATAATTTACATCACACGTGTAAGAAGTTAATACAAATTATACACAATACTTTGTATATCTCAGCATAATCTGGGTATTTGATATTAAAAGCAAACACATTTTTATTCATTATTAAAATGTATTTTTTGTAGAACTCTGGTGAAACAAAAGCTTTTTTAGGTGATTACTGATATTGTTTGATGAGGTAGAGGTCTCAAAAACACATCAAATATGAGATAAATGGTGTTAATTAATATGCTGAATACGATAAATTGATTTTTAAATACTATTTCTTTAATCTCAATACTTTGCAAGAACATGAGTACTTTCTATTTCCATTACTTGTCAGTTAATTCATCTTGTATTTGAGTGAAGTCATGTCACACTGAGGTTTTGAACTTTAACATAAACTTTTGTGTCTTAATCTTACCCCAGACTTCTTCTTCTTCTCCCCTGATGAAGGCGGTGGAGGTATGGTGGAGAATGTTCGGGAGTGTTGAGTCAGGTGTTGAGCTGTTCTGCAGGTGAACCACTGACTCACATTCACCTGTTAATGAGCAAACACAGGAGAAAAAGATATGTGGTTAGAGTTAAAAACCTCTCATTACACTGCAATATATAGCCTTTAGTGGTTATAAAAACATACAGGTGTACCTCCATTCAAATATGTGCTAATGTAATGTCGTGTTGCATGATGGGAAGACAGGTGACGTAACTGGAGACGTCTCTCAATTATTAAGTGTTTTATTTATTATTTAAGATTGTATTCGTCCACACACACACCGACATCATACACAGATACAAAAACGAACTAAATAAAAATATAATAAATAATAAATAAAAAAGACAAATAACAATAAATAAACAACAAATAAACAAAACCCTTAAATTTATTAAATAAAATAGAAAAAATAAAAATAAATAACTATTATTTAAACCAGACACCTTTTTCGGCAGTATTTTGGTAGCTTTAAGAAAGGTTTTATCAAATGTTTCACTATAAAAAGACACTGTGACGCACTAAAACGAAGAATTTGATTTTAATATCAAGTTAAACTGAAATTAGCGTTACACGAATATGTGTTTTTTTAGTGCTAACGGAAGTCGTGTTTTAGGTGATGCGTAAGTATATTTGCTATATTTCTGAATAGAGTCTGGTGTTACACCCGATACCGTCCGACAGCTTTGACCTACCGGGCAGCAGTGAACTGGTGACAGTTTGTGTTCCGGTCCGGTTTCTCTCCGTAAGACACTGTGCGCGAGCCTGACCGTTTGTATCCGGGTACTTATTTGTAGGAGTTTAACGTTACTGTGAGACAACCGGCATCCCAGGCTGTGATATAAAACACTCAGCGCCATGTCTGGACCTTGACAGAACCAACCGCTGCTCCAACGACGAAGCGGTGATAAGTTTACAAAACGTGATAAGCGAAGAGGAGACACGGCGTACAAACTACTGTTCTCGAGTCAGTTCTACATATTCGTGTTAGGTTAAGAACGGTCGATTCGAAAGTGAAAAGGCTGCTCTCAGATCAGCGTCCAGGTAGCGTCACTTAAGACAGGAAATGACGTGTTACATCTTCTTCTGTTATCTTGTTAGTCATAGTGCTCTCTGCTGCCCCCTGGAGGGCGGAAAATCATGTAAAGTGGGGGAAAAAAATGTTTATGATTCACTTTGATTTTTATATTTTATATTATTTATATATTGCACTTAATTTCACAGAAGATTAAGGTCTGGACTTTAAGACCAAAAAAAAAAAAATCATGGCTGTAATAGACTTTGATATGAAGATTATAAAAATTAAATAATAAACAAAATTAAATGGAACTTAAAGACACAACATTAGATGAAAAAAAATAAGAATCCTTCTTTAGGTGACACCATTTAGCTGGCACGTGTTTGTATTCAATGATACTACAAAAGGTTTTACTTAAGCAGCATTCTTTGTCCAGGATTGTCAGTCAAAGAACGTAACAAAAGGAATATTTAATCTGCCAAAATAATGAAGAAGCAGATGTCTAAATAGCAGTTTGACAATGTGAAGGCCAGTTTGATCTCAGCTCCTTATGGATGTAGTAGTAAAGCCAGGCCACAAAGGGGAACACTGTGATGGAAACAGCTGTTGAGACTCTGAGCATCCTGACAGGAGCCCTGACAGAGAAGAGTGGAGTAAAGATTAGTAAAAAAACACATACTGGGTATAAAAACAAAAGTGTTTCATAGAAGTACATGAGATCATCTTAATTTAAAAAAAGATTTGAAATACAATCTGGTTACGCCATCATTTTACCTTCCAGAGTGACGACACAGGAGAAGCCAAACAGCCGTCAACATGAGACCAGAAAATTCTCTAAAAGGAGGAAAAAATACATTAATGTCACATTATTATTTTACCTGAATCAATTCTGCTGACAATTTAATTAGCTATATTTTCGTTTTTTTTAAATAGTTTTATAGTGATTCATGATTTTACTGTTGTTTGTGTAAAAGTGAGATCTATGTATATGTATATATAAGTATAACAGACATTCATCCGTCCACATATACCTGTTCACATTAATTTAATGTGTTGTGATTTCATTCTATTTTGCACAAACATTGGCACTTTATTAGTGATGATTATGATTTTAATTTGCCCCACTACTTCTTAAATATTCAGACTTTCCTCCAATTTCTTATAACCACTTTTTGAGATTCTGTTCCCAAATATCCATTATTTCAGGAGGCATTACACCAAATAAAGACAATAATATAAATTATAATACCTTCTATTCCCCTTTTAACGGCATTCCAAAAATATCTTCCAGAGAGTGAGAAGTAGGAATAACCTGTCATAATAATGCCTCTTTAAAGAAAATGTAAAAATTAGGTGTCAGATCTCTACAGAGCTGCAGACTCCACACCTATAAGTAAACAGTCTACCTGCCCTCCTCCTGCTGGAGGATCTCAGTGATTCTCTCTCTGAAGAGTCTCCATCCCAACATGGCAACAACAGCGCTGGATATCAGCACGTGGAGATCAGCCACGCGCCTCCAGGGCAAAGTCTCTGCAGAAACCAACACATGAACGAAGAACCACATCTGCAGCTTCTTGTACTGAACTGAGCTGCACCGTCACGAGAGAGCCACGTGGCGGCGCTATCACATCTGGATATAAGATGCATTCAAGGAAAACAGGAACATGTGCAAAGTGGAATGTCTCAGAAAGTAGCTGAATTCAAGGTAATTTAATTAGGTTTTAATTCTCATTAGGGGGGATGCATTTACTAATAAAATACAAATACAGATCCAGAGTTATCTGTCTACCTGTCACGTGGGGTGTGAAGCCAACACATGCACACAACACTGCAGGGACACCGTAACCAACCTGCAACGGAAGCGTTGTGTTATCAGGAAATTATACAAAGAAAATGTAAAATATGTGGAATAACTGTGAGCTCACCATCCACACCCCTGCGTCTGGATCGTTGATCTGAAGATAAGATACAGCAGCATAGTGCATCGTGCAAACAAGAGACATAGTACAAAACAAGTATTATAAATAAGTAATAAAACAGTGAAGAATATTAAATAAGTAAAAAAGTAGAAATTATTAATATGATTTTAGAGGATGTATGAAGACGTTTTTATCCGAAAGTTAAACGCTCACCTGGACATAACTTGCAAGAGCGAAGAATAAAGACATTAACAAGTTGCAGACTCGCCAAATGACAGAAAGCCACGACTTACAAACTTCGCCCATTGTTGTTTTGAACCTTTCACCTCCCCGCCCGGGCCACCGGGACGTAAAGATGTAGAAACCAAACGCACGGACCGCGGTGTTTATAGTGTGATAAACCGGCGAGGGACGTTCGTTTGATATTAACTACGATTTACTGCATGTTGAGCTAAAATGTCACAATAATTCACAACCTAGTAAATGTCTGTATTTCCACACGAGACCAAACGCCCTTTTTGATGTGATATAAACCCACAGACGATGAATTAAAGCGGATGTTCTTGTATTTTTGTGTGATTTGAGGTTGTATAACACGTTGTCAGAACACGTCAGCACTACAACCAGAGATACAGTCCGACAATATAACTACTGTTTTTATAACAGAATTATATTCTAATGTGGAAAAATATATCTCAAACAGTCATGTTTATTCATATTTAACTACGGTGGATTACATCTTGGGAGGTTTTCCGCCCCGGCTGACCCCGTACAACAAAATGAGCACACATTCTCCGCAGTGACGTCAAGGTGCATACGAGGCAGAGATGTGACTTCCGGTAGTTCTTTACAAAGTAAAATCATAAAAGTTTATTTAAAGGTTTGTTTATGGCTTGTTATAAAAATGGTTATCGGACAATAAATATAATCTTAAAAAAGATAAATGTGTTTTAATTTGTATTGTTTTAGTTAATTATTACAACACAAAGTCAAAAGGCTAAACTTACATACACACACACACACACACGCACACACATAAAGGGACAAAATAACAACAACACACACTGAAAACAACAACAAAGAGAAGAAAATTAATTCATAAACAATTGTAGTGTTACATATATTTTAAATAAATGTATTTATTTATTTTTTGGTGTAAGGCCCCCCCAAAAAAAATAAAAAAAAATCTATTTAATCACAATAAATACAAAAACTATAATCATGTACTACATTGTCCAATAAGAGGATTATGGCAGCCCATTTCCACAGAAAAAAATAATTAAAAATATTTTTTTTCTTCGGGGGGTGGATTTTTTTTTTTTTTTTGTTTTCTTTTTTTTTTTTTTTGGGCTCGCGGAAATGGGCTTCCATAGGATAACACAATGGTGATGAGCCAACTGATGAAAGTATTGCAATATATATATATATATATATATATCTGCAGTATTGTGAACTGTGTATTACAGTTTTTTACCATTGTACAGAAAGAAAATGAAAATATGCAAACAATTCTGAAAAATAGCATGTTGGTATGGAATTTCAGACAATTTCAGCCCCACTCCAGACTACTGCACAGTACATATTCCTTTGTTTTATCTCAAATTTTAATTCTCAATCAGTTTCCTTTCAGTAAAACTAAATGAGCGTAATGCTTCTTAACATACACTTTTTCTTGTTTTATTTTGAAACAAACACAACGTAACATCCGGCTTCGTCTCGGCTAACCGCCGCTAGCTTCCTGTTAGCTCCGTGACGCTATGGGTGTTGACATGTGTCACTTGGTCAGCTGATTGCGGCTCTTAAAGCTTCTTGGCTAAGCACCGCTAGCCAGCTTAGTTAGCGTTAGCCTAGCTGGATGTTTGTAGTTTTTTGTTAACGTTACTACATGAACAGCTTCTAACGTTGCACGGAACTGTATTTAAAAAAAAAAAAAAAAAAATCGTGTAATTTCACCACATTTTAAAATTGTCCTCCGTGTATCTGCATTGCAGCCCCGGTGCTGCTGATGGAATTCAAACAACACACAACAATGGCGACTCCCTGTCCGAACAACTCGACAACAAGCAGCCACAGCAGCAGCAGCAGCAGCAGCAGCGGCAACAACGCAGGATCTCACATCACCACGATGAGCAGCATGCAGGGTGAGAAGTGCACGTTATGCACAATTAATAAATCTAAATATAAATACTAATGCGTGTTAGCTGCGAGCTCCCAGTCTGCTGCAGTGAAGGTTACTGTTAGCATTGAGTGGGAGGCTCAGGCTACTCCCAGGACTGGGAAATCAATTGCATATATTCACAGTGTTTCTACCCCCAAGAGAAACGTTCGTCAGTTATTTTATTATTAGTTATGAGATGGAGATAATGTCGTTGCCAAATGGGCAATAATATAAGATAAAATAAAATAATCCTTTATTAGTCCCGCAGTGAGGACATTTACAGGATTACAGCAGCAGCATAGTGTGCATGTATCAGAACAAGTATTATAAATAAGTAATAATAATAAAACGGTAAAGAATATTAAATAAGTAAGAAGTGAAATATTATATATACAGACAGGATAATGTGTATTTATATTGCACAGATTCTTAGTGTTTTGTGGTCTAATGATCATACAAACCCACAGAGATGTAATCAGTGTGTGATTTGCAGAACACTAACACAGTGGAACGAGAGTTATGTTGCTGTTTAATGTGATGAATTTATCAAAATATCTTCACAATTAAGACGGTATGTCAAGTTATGTTATTGTGTATGAGGTCGGCAGTATGCTTGACTAAATTAAATGGATTGTCTGGTTCGATGGGGTTCTTTGCAGCGTTCTCGTGCACCAGTGAGTCCATGTGAGCTCAGAGGAACACCAAGCCGCTCTGTGCTTCTGAAGTCTCGTGAACAAAATAAAATAATCTCTTTTATTCATATGGCATCTAAAGCAAACGTTCATCTCAATGCTGTGTGTGTGTGTGTGTGTGTGTGTGTGTGTGTGTGTGTGTGTGTGTGT